TTCTTGCCAAGGTATCCAGAAGCGTAAATTTACTCTACGTCCTTAACGTGCAGGTGGCACAACCCCTATGTCTCGCTGCTCGTCGGGACGACGAGGCGTGGCAGTGGCACGAGCGTTTCGGGCACCTTCACTTCGAGGCCTTGAAGCGGCTCAGTGCCACGGAGATGGTGCGAGGTGTACCGTGCCTCGACCATGTGGAACAGCTCTGCGACGTCTACGTGTTGACGAAGCAGAGGCGACTCCCCTTTCCCCAGCGGGCGAGCTTTCGAGCCAAGGAGAGGCTCGAGCTTGTGCACGGGGACTTGTGTGGCCCCGTGACACCGACCACACCGGAAGGACGACGCTACTTCCTGCTGCTCGTCGACGACTTCTCCCGCTACATGTGGGTGATGGTCCTCGGCAGCAAAGGAGAGGCTGCGGACGCCATCGGTATGCCAGCCAGTTCTGCGTGGAGGTGGAGTCGCGGTGCAAAAACTGCGCGTCTTCTTGCAACAACAACGGCGACAAATTCACGACGGCTGAATTCACGTCATCACAATGATGATGGGCATTTAGCGCCACTACTCCACGCCATACACCCGCGTGCGAGCGGCGTCGTCGAGCGCGCAACCCGGGCGGTTGTGGGGATGGCTCGGGCCCTTCTCAAGCGAGGGGGATGCCGGTGTCTTCTTCGGGAGAGCGGTGGTGTCGGCCGTCTACATCCTCAACCGCTTCGCCTACCAAAGGCGCTCGGCGGCGGGACGCCATCTGAGGCTTGCATGAAGCGCAAGCCGGCGGTCTCCCCACTTGCGGGTCTTGGTACGCCTCGCGTTCGCCAAGGAGTTTGGCCACATCAGCAAGCTCGACGACAGGAGCACTCCGGGAGTATTCATCGGCTACGCGGAGGGCTCGAAGGCCTACCGCATCCTCGACCCGAAGACACAACGTGTGCGCACGGCGCGCGACGTTGTGTTCAACGAAGGGCGAGGATGGGCGTGGGACAAGGCGGTGGACGACAGCTCGGCTCCGACGTACGACGACTTCACTATCGAGTACGTCCACTTCGAGGGAGCTGGGGGAGTAGGCAGCTCTTCTTCGACGAGCGCGTCTACCCCAGTCCCCGAGCCTCCATCGACCCCGGCGCCTGCTACTCCGACAGCACCACGCTCTCTAGCCAGGACCTCGGCTGCGATGAGTTCTTCGTCGGCTCCACCACAACCGGCACCGCCACGCACTCCAGCACTGACAGGCACCTCTCCGGGCACGTCTACTCCAACACCAGCTCGTGTCGAGCACAGCCCGGTTGAGCTCGCTACTCCGCTCTCTCACGACAAGGAGCGCATCGACGCGTACCACGACGGCGAGCCGTTGCGATACCGTACGATGGAGAACCTTCTCGGCGACCAGCCGGTGTCGAGACTGGTGCCTCACGACCTGGAGGCGCAGTTGCACCTTGCGTGTGACGACGGCGAGCCTCGGTCGTTTGCAGAGGCCGAGAGACACGCGGCATGGCGCGCCGCGATGTAGTTAGAGATGGATGCGGTTGAGAAGAACCGCACCTGGGAGCTTACTGACCTTCCTCGTGGTCACCGCACGATCACCCTTAAGTGGGTGTACAAGCTGAAGAGGGATGAAGCCGGCGCCATCGTCAAGCACAAGGCTCGCTTGGTGACACGAGGTTTCGTACAGCAGGAGGGGGTCGACTTCAACGACGCCTTTGCTCCCGTGTTACTGATGGAGTCCGTGTGACTCCTCCTTGCGCTAGCTGCCCAGGAGGGCTGGCGTGTTCATCACATGGACGTCAAGTCGGCGTTCCTTAACGGCGACTTGAAGGAGGAGGTCTACGTGCACCAGCCACCGGGATTTGCGATCCCCGACAAGGAGGGCAAGGTGCTCTGCCTGCGCAAGGCCCTCTATGGCTTGCGGCAGGCACCGAGGGCGTGGAATGTCAAGCTGAATTCCACGCTAAAGGGGATGGGCTTCGAGCAAAGCCCGCACGAGGCGGCCATCTACCGACGGGGCAGTGGAGGAAATGCTCTGCTGGTGGGTGTCTACGTCGATGACTTGGTGATCACCGGCACCAAGGATGTGGAGCTGGCGGCATTCAAGGAAGAGATGAAGACCACCTTCCAGATGAGTGACCTGGGGCCTCTTTCCTTCTACCTAGGAATCGAGGTGCACCAGGATGACTCCGGGATCACGTTTCGACAGACCGCCTACGCCAAGCGCGTCGTTGAGCTAGCTAGGCTCACCGACTGCAACCCAGCCCTCACTCCGATAGAGGAGAGGCTGAAGCTGAGCCGCGACAGCATGATGGAGGAGGTGGACACTATGCAGTACCGGCGTCTTATGGGGAGCCTTCGCTACCTCGCCCACACACGGCCGGACTTGGCATTCTCCGTCGGCTACGTTAGTCAGTTCATGCAGCGACCGACGACGGCGCACCAGCAGGCTGTGAAGAGGATCATCCGCTACATTGCGGAGACTCTCGACCACGACCTCTACTACCCTAGGTGCCCTGGGGCGGCACACTTCGTCGGGTATAGCGACAGCGACCACGCCAGCGACATCGACACCAGCAATAGCACGAGCGGGATCCTCTTCTTCCTCGGCAAGTGCCTCGTTAGCTGGCAGTCGGTCAAGCCGCAGGTGGTGGCCCTGTCCAGCTGCGAGGCCGAGTACATAGCGGCCTCCACCGCTTCGACTCAGGCGCTTTGACTCGCTCGACTGCTTGGTGATCTCCTCGGTAGAGACACTAGAGCAGTGGAGCTCAGGGTGGACAGCAAGTCCGCTCTGGCCCTAGCAAAGAACCCTGTTTTCCATGAACGCAGCAAGTACATCTGGGTGAGGTACCACTTCATCCGAGGCTGTTTGGAGGAAGGGAGCATCAAGGCGAGCTACATCAACACCAAGGACCAGCTTGCGGACCTGCTCACCAAGCCCCTTGGGAGGATCAAGTTCCTTGAGCTCTGCTACAGGACGGAGATAGTTCAACTTTCCCACAAGACGACGCACAAGACTTAGGGGGAGAATGATGGGATAAGTCTCATGTGCTGGTCTTTGTGGGGCTGTGCTGGTCACATGGTCTTTGTGGCTGCATAGTCTGTTTTTAGGACAGCATAAGACAGTATTTTAGACTAGAGGACAGCATCACAGCATCCTAGACTAGAGGACAACATCTTAGCATCTAGGACAGCATCTTAGACTAGCATCTTGGCATATGTTTGGCTGGCAGCAGCCTATAAATATGTACCCCAACCCCTTAGGTTGGCATGGCATTGAGAAATAAATCAGAAAATTACCCCAACTCCTAGTGTCATCCTCTCTCGATGAGAGTAAGAATTCTGCTACTAACAAGAATAAGAATTCAGCGACTAACAATAGCTATGCTATTGAGCATTGTACAGATAAATGTATAAAATCAATAGTTAACCATGGTAGTTATTGCTGTAAAAACTTTTCATAACAGTAATGAAGGCAGGACAAGAGAACCCAAGGCAATTCTTGAGTTGGTAGAAACTCAGAACTGCCTGTGTTTTGATTATGAAGGATTCACTCCTTACCATTTGTTTAACTATTATTGGCACCCATGTGAGCCTCTTAATAAATCATACTTGAACAACTTACAAGGATGGCCCATACTATGGATAAGAAGGAAGAAAACTTATGCTGACTTTGAATTTTCATAGGTCACCAGTGGATAACCTATGAATTATTTTTAGGTTAACTAGAACTGTATATTTGAACATATTTTCTTTTATATTTGGCTACTAAAATAAGATGCTCATAGATTAGTCAAACAGGCTAGACAATTTGCTCCTTAATCATGTGCTTTTGTATTATGAAAGAAAAGTAGTCATTCTGGTATGTGTATCATGAATTCATGATTCGAGCTGTCCAAAAAAAATTGGGGAAAGTTTTATGCTCATAGCAACATATGGGTCTAAACAAAATTTTATTATATATTGTCATGCTTTATTGTATTGGCTTGCCATAATGTTGTGCACTTGTGTTTGCATATATTACTGCATGATCCAGTAGCTTCAAGCACAGGTGACAATTGACGAAGTGATAATTGATAAATTTCAGAGCTGTGAAGGGCTTTGGCTTCCTTATAAAAATGATTGATTGCAGTGGTGCAAAACTTGCAAACTTGATTATTCGTCGTATTCATCTGCATTTTAGGTAATAGAGGAGGCAAAAGTAATATAGGATGACTTGTATTCATCTGCATTTGAGGTAATAGAGGAGACAAAAGTAATATATGATGACTTGTCAAGATGTTAGTGTGATTTGATGTACTCGTTATATTATAATATAATTTTATTATCATTTCTAACATGTCTCTTTTCTACAATGGTAAATATTTAGCCTTTGATCACTTTTGATTATGAACTTTGTGCTTTCTTTGATTCAAAGAAATCGGATTAAATTATGTGTTTTGGTGTTAACCATGTGTGCTTCTTGTGATTTTTCATATGCTTTACCCGTATATGGGTGTCATGGGATCCTAATTATATCCGTAGCAATGCACGGCCACTCAACTAGTCTAGAAAAAAAAAGACACTTCATCGAAAATCCTTTTTTGCTTATTTTCCCCCCACGCTTCGCTAGCCCTACCAGTTTGTTTAACAAAGTCGACACTCGAGCAAACGACTTTCAATTTTGTAGCGCATCGTGCTCTAATTTCTGTACTTTGAGTTTGTGACACATGAATTTCTTTTTCGCAATTTTTGCACACAGCGGTGTAGGTACTTTTTTTTTTCCCTCCGACGAAGCGCACAACAGTGTGGCAGATGTCCACTTGGACTATCTTGAAGATTTTTTTGACGATATTTTACTGAAGATCCCTGAAGAACGCCAAGGGATTGGGTGATGTAATTCTGTAGTGCATTGTGGTCGACTGGTCGTCATCGTCAATCAAAAGATGCACAGGCCAGATCTGACAACTCTAGCAAAGCGAGCCCGTCAATTTCCATCCCCTTCGCCCGCCCGACGGCCATGTCTCGACACGGGGCAGCATGTTATCCACCGCCGCCCCGCGCGCGCGGTTCTCGCCGCCGGCGCCCGCCTCCCACCCGCCGTGGAAACGTGGCCGCTCTCCATCATCGGCTCCTGGAAGCATGGCGTCGTGGCGCGCGTCCGCCGAGAACGCCGTGCCCCTCGACCACCGCCGCCGCTGGCACAACGCGGAGCGTGCCCCTGGTCGCGTCTGGCAGCAGTTCCGCGCGCCCCAGCCTGCCTTGCCCTCCTCCAGGCTTTGGGTTTGCTCGGAGGACGCCTCGACCTCCTCCTCCTCCGGAGGTATTCGTCGTGCTTAGTTATCTGGCATCGCTTAAGTTTAGGAGAAAATAGTTCCCAGTTGCCTTTGCTCACCATATGTTTGTCTATAAGCCTGAGTATGCTTGCGGTGTTGCTTTCTTACTACTTTTTTAATAAAGATTTTCTTACTTTATGTTACATAAGTGTTGCTACTAGGAACTGGCTAGGACATTGGACACTCAGTGCAAGTAAGAAAATTTGTTCGAGTCAGTGCATTTTTTTTAGAACATGCCAATCAGTGCACCCCCTGAATATTGCGATTTTTGTCGATCCTTTGCCATGAATCTGTATTGTCTATTTCTTTCACGTGGAATATTCTTGTGAGCTGGACGCAATTCTTTCATGGTTGATTCAGTGCTCGTGCTTTGTTTTTCTAGATGCCTGCACGATCATGTCATACAACATCTTGGCTGATTACAATGCTCAGAGTCATCCTGACCTTTATTTGGATGTCCCCTGGGATGCAATGAGGTGGGATTCAAGGGGGCGACTTATTATCTGTGAAATTAGGCACTGGGATCTTGACTTAGTGTGTCTTCAAGTAAGAATCCAGTCTCAATGATAGTGATGACGTTCTCGCACTGTACTCTGTAACACTTCGTTATTTGGAAGCTAGGAGGTGGATAGGTTTCAGGATATTGCTGCAGGAATGAAGAGCAGAGGGTACGAAGGTATATATCAGGTACATCACTTCCTTCACAAAGACATTTCCTTTCAGATATTTCTGTGTTTCAGTTCTTAAGTGACAGTTTGTGATCATCAGAGGCGAACTGGAGATACTAGAGATGGATGTGCCATGTTTTGGAAGTCAAAACGGTATGGATGATGCATCGCCCTTTATTATATTCATTGATCTGAATAAAATGGTATTTTCATTTCATCTTTGTTTCCAAATGAAGAAGGGCGGGCCTGGTGCAAGCGGTAGAGTCTTACCGCCTGTGACCGGAAGGTCCCGGGTTCGAGTCGCGGTCTTCTCGCATTGCACAGGCGAGGGTAAGGCTTGCCACTGACACCCTTCCCTAGACCCCGCATAGAGCGGGAGCTCTTTGCACTGGGTACGCCCTTTATCTTTGTTTCCAAATGAAAGGCAGGCTTGGTGCAGTGGTGAGAGCTGTCTCACTGAGTCACCAGGTCACGGGTTCGAAGCAGCCTCTCCGCAGATTTTGTGGGGGGAGGCTTGCCTCGGTTTTTCCCTTCCCCAGACCCCACTCATGTGGGAGCCTCTGGCACTGGGTCTGCCCTTTTTTATCTTTGTTTCCAAATGTAGGTTACATCTGCTTGAGGAAGATAGTATTGACTTTAGTGAATTCAATCTGCGAAATAATGTTGCTCAAATATGTGTTTTTGAGGTACCTGAAGTAGCACTAGTTAGTTCAATGAATAATTCCATATGATTGTACATTTTAAACAAAATCATAGAAAAAACCGTGTGTACCGTAAATTACAGAAACTGTCCACTAATTACCGTAAGCTGTAAAATCTGGTAGTATTTTGTAGCTCTCTTCATCCATTTACAGCTAAGTTCGGTATATCGAACTTCATTTCTGAATGCTTCTTGCCTATTTTTTTCAGCTTAACGGAACACACAAATTTGTACTCGGGAATATTCATGTTTTGTTTAATCCAAAGCGGGGTGATATAAAACTGGGCCAGGTATTAATTTCAGCCTCGTTCATTGCTGTGTGTATTCTTTGTACATATATCTATTCTTATGGACATGGCCATTTGCTGATGGCCTGTTGCGAATAGAATTTATATTTTTGACAATTAGCTACTTTCTCTTTCACCACCCTAGAACTTTATCCAATTTATTGTTGTCCATTTTGATCCTCCCTGCAGATTCGCATGCTACTTGAGAAGGCAAATGCTCTTGCTGAAAAATGGGATAAAATTCCTATCGTGCTTGCTGGTGATTTCAACAGCACACCTGATGTATACCTTTATTGCTTCTTGACACATGATTTAACTTATAGAACAAAATTATGTGTAGCAAGTTTCTTGTTATACAACTGCAATGCAAACACAGCAATATTCAGAAGTGATATACTATAAAATAGTTATGTGTCCATGGTAGTGCGGTGCCACTAGGCCATCTTAAGTTTGTTATGATATCTAATTCGAACAATGTGGGAGCCTTTTTGATATGTTACTGACATTTTTTATTTCTTCTGTTATTTCGTTTTCTTATTTTATGAGAGCAGAGCGCTATCTACAAGTTCTTGTCGACAATGAAGGTAGATTGATGCTTTAGAACTTCTTGAGAAAATTATAGTTATCCCTAGTTATTACAAAATTTAACCAACAGTGCACATTGCGTTTGTTTTTTTGTGTAACCAGCTGAACATTTCTTTGCATGATAGAAGGCAGTTATCTGGACTTGATAGCTCGGAATTTGGCCTGTATGAGCTTTGTAGGTCAGCAGTCTTTCTTGTCAGATCACTATTAACCTAGTACATGTCTTCTTTTCCTCTACTGAAGACTTATCCCGACATTTCTCATAGTCTGCTCAAGTATCAATGGACTGATGAAGAAGTGAGAAATGCGACAGGGTGTTCAAATGTTGTGGTGGCTGAACATCCATTGAAGCTCAGTAGTTCATATGCCATGTTGAAGGTACTAGTTTGTAACTTCAATTGGGAGCACGATGCCTTTTGACATTTAGATTAGGGCTTCAAATGAAACTATTGCCCATTATTCTAGGGAAATTCAAACAATAGGGGTCTTCATGGTGAACCCTTGGCGACTTCCTACCACAAGAAGTTTCTTGGAACTGTTGATTATCTGTGGTATGCTTCTAAATGTTTGCCTGCTTCTTGTTGTATGTATACACAATGTGACTGAGATTCTTTGTCGAAGGCGCACTCGTGGAATTGAATGCTCCAGAGTTTTGGACACGTTACCTATAGGTGTTTTGAGGAGAACGAGGGGTCTTCCAACCAGGGTAATACCCCATCTGTTTTGCTCCGTAGTAATTTAAATGAATCCTTTCGAAGAACAACAGCTTAATCTTAATCTTTGGTGATCCTGGAATGTGGATTTTTTTTATGTACTATATCTGTAACTGCTAATTTGTGCCATAAATCTTTTTCAGGAAATTGGCAGTGATCATTTGCCCATTGTTGCTGAATTCGCTTTCCTGGAATCAGTTGATGATGATTCTGGTGAAGAAGATGAATCTGAGCAAGATGACGAGTCTGAGAAAGAAGTGAGCAAAGCGCAGCACTTATTTTTCTCCTCAGATAGTTCCGTTGAAGGGACTGAGTGATTCAGTATTTCGGTTGGTCAAAAAGGTTTAAGTTATTCAAGAACAGGGATGTCCCGTTCGTTTCGCTGAAAAAACAAGCTGAAACACTGTTCCGGCTGATTTGTTGTAAGAGAAAAATACTGTTCCGGCTGAAAAAACAAGCTGAAAAAGACGGATTATAAGAGTACGATGCATCAGAGACCACATTGCATCTTTCATGGCCCATATAAACAGATCATCTCCGGCTTCAGTGCACAATGAATTTGTCGATACCTTTGTCCGTGTACGGTACAGGATCCTGCTGTGCACAGTACCACATTGAGCAGAATCAAGTACGGGCAGCTGTGTGAAATGCAAGATTGCAACGAAGTAGTCTGTACGAAGAAGAAACGGCAATTTAGTGGACGTATTTGTTCCGTATCAACGGCAATTTAGTGGACGTATTTGTTCCGTATCAGATGGTTATAACTATATAATTTTTTAAATAACTGGCAAACGGCCCTGCCCCAATTTTCATAAAAATAGAGTAAAGTTTACCATCGGTCCTTAAACTTGTGTTCTTGTTTCATCCCGTCCCTAAACTATCAAAATGCTTATTTACGTACCAAACATTGTTGGGGTCTCACAATAATCCTATCGGATCTCTATGTGGTCCTTTAATTTGTTTAGGTGTGTTATTTTGGTCTCAAATACCGTGAAATAGCTAGCAGGATCAACGTGCTCCGGCCACCCACACTCGGCCTCGGCCTCGGCCTGAGCGGCCCGTGGACGGCCGCCGCGTGGGTCTGCGGACTCGAACGTGACAGCCACGCCGCCACCGAACGCCTCCTCTTGGGCGCCCGTGCAGCCAGCGGTCTTCTCTTCGGGGATGAGTTCGTGTTTGACGTACACGTACCCGATGTAGGTGACCGTGACGCCTAAGAGGATGGGTAAATTAGGCAACTTAAAATTCTATGTATAAACTTAGGTCTTTTTTATTAACTTTAGCAAAATCTATGCAATAGATAAACTATCTAAATGTGTAACTATAGTTTTACTAGTGTGTTGCTATCTCTACCGCAAAAGAAGTAATACAATTAATGTAAATGTGGAAGCTAAAGAGCAAGGTAGAGATATGCAAACTCTCGTCGACGACTCTGATATTTTTACCGAGGTATCGAGAAGCGCACAAGCTTCTCCCTAGTCCTCGTTGAAGCCCCTCGCAAGGAATCCCTCGCAAGGGCCAAGCTCCCGGTTGGGGTAACTCCGTGGATAGCCTTGGGCCTTCCCCACGCGCAAGTGGGTCTCCGACGTGCCTTCCAACAAGCCTCTCCCGGATGCTCCCCGCCGTCTTCACTATCAAGCTTCCGGTCAAAACGCTGCGGACCTTGTTCCCTCCGGTACACGATGGCAGCCACACCATAAACGCGGTTGGTGTGATCTCGCAAGACTACAAGCCCTTCCGATGTACAACAATGGTGCGCGCAAGCACTGAGTGGTAAGAGGTATGCAAACCTCACTAAACACTAGGCCTAAACCTAGAGCAAGCGCATAAACGGTGGTCTAATCAATCTAAGCACTTCGCAAAGCATCTACGCTAATCACCTAATAAAACACTAAGCACTATGCAAGTGGAGATCACTAAAATAGCGTATCAACACCCTTGATATGTTTCCTTAGCTTCACACACTTCAAATGGCCGGTTGGGGGTTGTATTTATAAGTCCCACTGAGAAAGTAGCCGTTGAGGACGGAATCCCGCTTTTCTGCTACTGATCGGACGCTGATCACGTCCTGACAGGACACGTCCTGTCGTCCCAACCGTTGGAGCCACGATCAACTGATCGGACGCTGCCAGCGTCCGGTCACATGCCACTGGACGCGTCCGGTCGCATTTTCGCTGCTCTGAAACATCTCTGTACTTGACCGGACTCTGCTGTCCTGTGTCTGGTCGATCTGCCACCAGCGTTCGGTCACTACTGCTGCCAAGCCTCTTGATCGGGTGTCCGGTCACTGTGCTACCAGCGTCTGGTCCAATATCCGGTCACTTATGTGAGCTTGTTTCTTCGCGATCTTGCGTATGGCTTGGTTCCTATCTTCATGCTTGGACTTTGCTTGATATCTTGGGTCTTCTCTTGTGCTTCTAAGGTCTTGCTTATGGTGTTGATCATCGGATCATCACGTTGCCTTTGTCCAAGTCACATCTTGCACCATATTGAACTACAAAACAATCACTTGCAAATTCATTAGTCCAATTTGGTTGCGTTGGTTATCAAACACTAAAATCCAAAGTAAATAGGCCAATGGTCTATTTTCCTTACAATCTCCCCCTTTTTGGTGATTGATGACAACACGACCAAAGCAAGCAAATAATAAAAATTTGGAATTTAAAAACTATCTACTTGCTAGGATGTAATACAAGGGGCAAGGTTATATGATGGTAAAAGATACTACTTGTAAGATTAAAAGATACTACATAAAAACTTATCTTGCCCTTACAAATGTCCCCATGTGACATTATAGATTTAAGCCTTGCTTCCTACAAATTCTCCCCATTACATAGACTAATCCATAATCTACTATTCTCCCTTTCTCGGACCATTACCACTTGTAGACACCACTTGTAGACCATTACCAGTTGTAAATTATTATAATCTAGCTTTTGTACCTACAAACTAGCGCCTGCTTTTGGTCCTCCAAATTCTCCCCCTTTGGAATCAAACACCGAAAAGGAAGACATTAGTAGCACAAGGGAGGGTCAAACTTTGTGATCCTTTGTATGTAAAGTGGAATAGGTCACAACATTTGACTATCACATTATATAGATTAAGCTCCCCCTAAATATATGCATACATATGGTAGAAGGCAAAGCATATGCATAATTGGCAAATTATTGCTCAAGGGAATTTAATCTATATAATGCATGGAGAAAGCATATAAATATCAAAATGAAATCAACATGATGATATTGGTTTAGAAATACCACATGTAAAAACTAATTTGATTTCTACCACTTGCAATAAGTGATAGATATTTGAAGTATGATGCTTAACACCGAGGACTCTATTTTCCTTGCAATGAGACTACTACACACACAATAAACTTGAAAAGGTGTTAGTCTCAAAGCATCCAACTTGTAGAGTAACCTTCCCCTAAATTTGTGCACACAAGTATGGAATACTTGTAAGAAACATGCACATTGATTTTAGAATCTAAAATACCACTTGAAAGATGACATCACATGAATGTGAGAGTCATTTTTGAAGTCGATATTCCGGAGAAATTATCTATAATTTAGACTTTGGCACATATTAGAAAAACAATTGTAAGACAAGCTATATGCCGTGCTCCTAAACAGTTTTAAACCATGTAGGTTTGCTCCAAGGGTTAAGATTGAAACCGAGCAAGCCTACCATAAGATATACCTAGTGTATGCATGACAAAAGATATAAGCATGCAAATGCAAATATAGGCATGAAAAAGTAACTAGATGCTTAAAGATACCAATTTATAAGAAATACCACTTGTAGAAAATGCAAATTGATACTACTTGAAGGGAATTGAATCTAGTTACCTAACATGGGAAGGGAAATTTAGGTCCATAGTATTCACTAATCCACTTGGCAATGATTTTGTCCATCATGATGCACCCCATGAAATACACCCATACTTTGCCAAGTCTCCAAATTCCCTGAAGTCCATCGGACTTCTCATTTCCCTTTCGGGATCCAAACCTTCTTAGTGCTCTTCATGTTGGAAATGATTTCCTTTGGCACCAAAAAGCGTTTGACCCTATTGTTGGCTTGCTTGTTCACCTTGATGGCCATCACCTTGTCATTTTTCTTCTTCTTTAACAAGTATGGTGTGGAGGTCTTCTTGTCCACCTTGTTGGTGTAGGTGTTGGAGAGCTTGCTTGTTTGCTTCTTCTTTTTCTTCTTTGCTTCTCCCCCATTCTTCACCTTGCACTCATAGGACTTGTGACCTTCCTTGTGACACACGTAGCAAACCATGGTTTGTCCTACATCAAGCTTATTCACTCCCTTGACAGTGTTATCTTGATGAAGTTGGGCTTGCTTCGCCTTGCCTTTTACTTAAGTCAAGTCCTTGGTGAGGCGAGCTACTTCTTGCTTGAGTTGCTCATTCTCATTTGCGACCTCTTGTGTGCATGTATCTACAATAACTTTCTCAACACAAACTTGGTTGCCCAAAGATGAGTCTAAATATAAATCATTACAAGAAGTAGATGCATCATTTTTAGACATTTTTAAGATAGAACTTTTCTTTTTAGATGCCTTGGTGGGGGTTATACTAATGGCTTCAAGATTAGTAACTTTATTAGTTAGCTCATCACAATGTTTGCATATGGTTTCCATTTTAGCAAGCAAATATTTATAAGCATCTTGTGAGTTAGCTAACTTTTCTTTTAATTTTTTTTTTTTTCTTTACAAGTTGCTCATTATTGATTGTGCATGCATTTGTTGTTGCACTAGCCTCAAGTTGCTCAACTTTAGTAGATAGTTCAACATTGAGATTAGCAAAGTTCTTATATTGTTCAAGCAAAATTTTGTATGCTTCTTGTGAACTATCTAGCTTTTCTTTTAATTTTTTGAGCTTCTTTTGTTGACTAGTGCAAACTTTAGCATAATTAAGATTTTGTTGCACAATTTCATCATAAAAAGGCATTTTATCATCACTATCACTCTCACTAGAAGATGAGCTTTCGTTACCTTGTGCCATAAGGCACATACGAGAAGAGCTTGATGATGAGTGCTTGCGTCCTCACCTCTTGTGATGGTGTTCTTCTTCACTTGAAGAATCATCCTATGACCTTATTGATATGAGGGCTTGGTTCTTACATACCTTCTTCTTTGTCTTGGGTGTGGGCTTGTTTGGACAAACTTCCACAAAGTGCCCTAACTCACCGCATCCATAGCATCCTCTCTTTCTTTGCTCATTTCTTTGATTGGTAAAAATGATATCTTAGATTTGGATGGGCACACCCTTGATATTGAGCCTTTGGATCATCTTTTCTACCTTGTTGAT